TTTCTATTAGCAAACAGAATATTCAGAAAACCTTTTTACCTGGTATCAGTCTTCAGCCTCATAAATGACACTTTTATGGGTCTTCTGAGGTAGGAAAAGCCTGCCAATTTCAATTAGAGAATTTAGGTTCGCTTGTAGAGAAGCCAAGTGGTGGGATTTCTGGCTTTCCCGGTGATCAGGTATAACCGAGAACACCTGAGGTAGAGAGTTGCCTTAGCCTTATATTTACTGAGCATCCATTGTGTGCCTTGCATTGTCAAACAGAGATTGACTGTACCCCACAGCAGGGGGGTCCGTTCATTGGGGTGCCGTCAGTGAATGCAATAATCACAAACTCACCCCCAGCAACAAAGGCAGAGAAGACTGTTTTTCCTTTTCCCCAACATATTCAAATATCTAAATCTCTTATATTGCAAGTTCAAATGAGGTCAACATACAACACGTGAGTGATGAAATCACAGAGGTTTTATAAATTATTAAATGGTTGGAAAATAAGATCTCGGCTTTCCTGGCTCCAGTTAGAGAACAGGTGTCCCCCGTTGAAAAGCTCATTCGTTTATTTTATCACGTTCTAACTTTCCCACTTCTTCTTGCGTCTTATTTTATAATTACTTCCTTATCTTCACAGCTTTCCTTTGAAACTTAGGTCTTTTTAGTTAGAGAAACAAGGAACATATCCTTCTAAAATTGAGACTATAACTAACTGCAACTCCTACATTTTGTTTATGCTCAGTTTAAGGCACGGCTGCCTTGCTAGGGGGTTGTTCACTAGCTGTTAGGACCCTGAGAGTGTCTCCTGTTTTATAAGTCTCAAGTCACTCTCCATTTTGTTCTAAATAGTCCGTATATGCGTGCACATCTATAGGTCTCTGAATGAAAACATAAATACCAGCTATAGGTAGGAATGTATATGTGGACATAGGTATACATGTATATATATGTGTGTAAATGTGTATATGTAAATGTTTACATAAATGTACATATGTATATGTGTAAATGTATACATATGTGTATGTATATATAAAATTCTGCCAATATCTCGTAATTGTCAACAAAGTTGAGTGTGAGACAACCATTTTCTAAAAACAGTTCTTAATGTTTCAAGAAATTTGAAAGCCTGGACTTTTCATCTGTAGACCCTTTATGCATGTGGCAAATCATCTCTGAAAGCCAAACCTAACAAGATTCTCTTCAACTGTTTAAAAACGAAAAAACAGAAAGCTTTGAGGGTATGTATATAGATAGAAGGAAATAGGGTTGCTCTACTATGTTTGTGTAGTTAGTGTTAATTTCACTGAAATTTCACCATGCTCCATTTATTAGATAACTAAGACATTGAACTTTGAGAGATGTTGAAAGCACACGTGAAGCATTAAGTAATCAATCAATAAGGTATAGTGTTTGAAGACTGTTAGGATATACTGATTATTCAGATACTTCATTTTGTAAACGCCAATAGATAGCATGCTTTTCTGAAAAAAAGAATCATTATTCAAACAAAAGTGTTCACCATAGAAACATGACACAAAGAGGAAGATAAACATCAAAATTTTTTTTTAAAAGATAGTAAAATCAGAGTACCTGGGTGGCTCAGTTGGTTAAGCAGCTGACTCTTGATTTTAAAAGGCTCAGGTCATGATCTCAGGGTTGTGAGATGGAGCCCCGCGTTGTGTTCCATGCTTGGTGTGGAATAGGATTCTCTCTCCCTCTCTGCCCTCTTCACCTCCCACTCCTGCTGTGCTCTCTCTCCCCCCCCTCTTAAAAAAAAGGTAGTAAAATCATGAAAGATCATTGGACTTTCAGCTGCCTTTTTTTTTTTTAAGATTTTTATTTATTTGTCAGAGAGAGAAACAGTAAGAGAGGGAACACAAGCAGGGGGAGTGGGAGAGGGAGAAGCAGGCTCCCCGCGGAGCAGGGAGCCTGATGCAGGGCTCGATCCCAGGACCCTGGGATCATGACCAGAGCCGAAAGCAGATGCCTAACGACTGAGCCACCCAGGCGCCCCTGCTTCTGTTTATTCTAATATGGCACAAGTGTTAATAAGTGAAAAGTATGAAGTCTTTTCATAAAATGTGGTCATTACAGGGATTTAAAATTTTAAATACTGAGGAACTTTATATGTATCTATTTGGCTCGTGGATATACTTTAAATTTTTAAAAAATAAATATATATGTCATTTCTACAGGATTTTTTTTAATGAAGTAATGCATTTTGGGACCTGGTTTTGTTTAAAACATGCACATCTCTCTCCTCCTCCCTAGCTGTTTTTTTTTGTTTTTTTTTTTAATAACAAAATGTGTAGCAGAGCAATCTTTGGAGTAAAAATGTTTTTTTTGTTTTTTTTTTTTTTTTTTTTAGTACTTTACTTTCAGAGTCAGCCTCTGAAGGTGGAGAGAGAACGGACGCATAGGGTCTTTTCCTCTATACCACATAGCCCAAAGCCCTGACCTCCAGCTGATCCACACTCAGCATCACGAAAGGTCTTATGAAGCTCTGTTCTCTCGAGAAGTACCAAAACTAAAGTCCCGACGTCTATGAAAACGTTAGGAGGCTTCTGGTTTTAACTTTTAGAACTCTGATAAAATACGAAGATATTATATTCACTCAAAATAAAAATCAAGTCCGTCCATGCCATCTCCCAAGGGAACTTCCCCCTTTTTGGTTTCACTGACATTGCTAATAATGCCCTAAAAACACCCTTTTTTGGGATAAAGCTATTAGATAATATCTTGATAATATCCTCTTCCTGATGCACTATGATCTGAATTACTTTGCCATTGGCTGTAACTAACACGGACCAGGAATTCCCTTTGTAATGAGTGTTTTCCTGTTGTGAATTTGTAGAAGTCTTATCATCACCACAATCCTTAATAGACCAGTACAGGAATAAATGCTGCTTTGGCTGCCAAACTTTTATTTTTACCACCAGTCTAGTCTCAGCAAGTATAAAGCTGCTAAGCCAGCGCTGTTATAGTGACCCTCTCGGTAAGAGAAAAATCAGATTATGTGCCATCAGAGGAAATAAATGTTAGTATTAGGTGTGATCGACCGATTCATTTCTTTTGCTTAAGTCCCACCCTCTGAGTGACAGGTGGAGGACAAAATGTGAAGAAGGAGTCCTGCTGAGTAAGTGCTTAGGATGGTGTTTAATACAGCAGAGAGCCAAGGTACAGTAGGAGGGGACACAGTAAAGAATGTGGAGAGGGTAGATACAGTAAAGAATTTCGGTTTATGATCTGCCATCTGCTATTTGAAAGAGGAGTTAAGTTAGGGAAATAAGTGACTTTCAGTTCTCCATACATGCAAAGGTAAGTTAGTTATTACAAAAGTTTTGCTGTCGTATGTGCTGAAAGAAAAGCATATGCATTTAAACATCTTTTTAAAAAATAAATCACTCAATAGGCTTAAGAAAAATACTCTAGTTCGTATTTCATTGATCTGACCTTTTGATTCAAGATCAGGGAATGAATCCAAGATGGAAACCAAAAAACAAAACAGAAATGAATCATTTCACCATGAAAAAGGCATTTCCAGTCTCAGTTAACCTCGACTAGTTTTTATTGCATTATTTTTGAAATGCCAAGAAACTGGCTTTGGCCATATCTGCCGTCCAACTAAATCACAGCTGTCAATATGCAATTGCTTGCAACAATTAGCTAAACACCATTATTGGACAAATCCCCTGGAAAGGGACATAGATGCTCTAGGTGTCTGATACTGAACCAAGTAACAGGCAGGGGCTGCAGCACAGGGAGAGAAGTTGGTACGTCCTTGCCCAAGGAAGGGATTTCAAACAGCCTTCTTTTTTTTTTTTTGAAAAAGACACGTTTGCCCTGATCCTACTACAAGTCCTTTCTGGTTTTCAGGAATGGATTGTGGGATTGGCTAAAGGGGGAAGGGGGAAGCCACCAATTCTGGATTCCTTTCTTAAGGACGTCAAGGGGAGAGAAAGAAAAATAGAAATACAGATGTGAAATGGTAATGGTATACAACGTGGAGAAATGAAACCTCACGGAACCTGCTAGCAATTTCCACCAAAGCAATAAAACCCCTTAACTGACAAGAAATTCAGTACAATATACACATTTAACAACTTCACCATTACTAGGGCTGCCATTTCAAGCCAGAAAATTAACTGCAATATTCAAAAACAGAATTCTCATAAGATTTGAGAAAAATAGAGTGAAAAGGCATAATGTTAGCTAAGCTCTTAGCTAAGTCCACTCTTAATGGCCCCCAGTATTTAAACTGTCATGGATTAAAGCCATGAAAATAAAAATTTCAATTTGAAATTTTATTAGCATGTTGCTAAAATGGTCAATAAAAACATCAACACGATAGGCTTTGTTGACATAGCTGGAAACCTGCTCTCTCACTTTTAAAAACTTTATTTCCACTTCCCCACCTTCTAAGATTTCTATGTTAGGAAAAGCCAAACTAAATATCCTGGCTATGGTGCTGTAATAATGCTGGTTTCTGGAATGTTGCCATGTCTTCTCCCTCCAACCCTTTAAAAAATACTGTTTTTGAAATGCAGCCCAAGGAGGGAGCAATCTAGGGTTAGAACAACAAGCGACCTTCTCCACAAATTCAAGTTCCCAGACACCAGGTGAACCTTCTCCCCGCCGGGGTCGGGGCCGCGCTCCTCACCAAATTAGCTGCGCCATTTTCCTCTCGGGACCAGAAAGGCTTCCCTCCTGCCAGCGAGGGAGACTCACAGGCAAATGGGGCGGGGGGTGGCGTTCGCTTCCCTCGGTGGAAAGGACTAGAAGCAAACCCAAAAGCTTTGCCCGGAGCCTGGAATGCAATGTCGGGAGACTTGGGGCTGGAGAGCTGGAAAAATGCCGGGCAGCCTCGGGATAACCCGGAGTCCCGAAGTGCTCGCTTGTGGAATTATTCACAAGTGCCTAAGGGACAGGCTCGATTTCTTGGAAATCCTGAAATCTGGGGACACATTCATACAAGAGCTGAACTGTGCCCTGAAAAGATCATTTCTCACCTCCGACTGGTCTGTGTGTGCGCGTTTGGGGGCGGTGATGGTTCCCTTTACAGTAGGTCGGGTGACAGTTACGGACTAGTGACCCGCGGGAAAAGCCACGACCCTGCTCCCCTCAGCCCTTTCTCCTTCCCCCGTTACAGCTCAAGGGGAAAGCGCACGCTGGGCTTCCCAACACCGTCACCACACCGGGGGGCTCCGCCAGGCGCGCACAGCTGCCCTTTGGTCCCGGGGCCAGTTCCTGAGACTTCCTGCCACTTGCCGGAGGGGTGCGAGGGTGCAGCCTGGGCACTGGCCGCCGCAGGAGGGCGCTCGAAGGGGCGGGGGTTGTGGATCGCCGGCCGCGAGGCCCGGGTGCGGGGAAGGGAGCGGGGCGCGGGGAGACGAGAGGAGCGGGAGGCCCCCCACAAGGCTACTCCTTGTCGTCCACGAAGTCGGCGAGCTCCTGGAGCACTCGCAGGCGACCGCAGGCGTCGATGCGGCGCTTCTCGCGGATGAGGTCTTCCAGGCTGTGAAACCTGGCCGTGTGCACCTTGTTCTCGCCCAGGTGCACCTTGAGATAGTACTGCTGCTGGGGCTGCGTGCCGGCCGGCACCTCCCCTCCCGCCTTGAACTCCCGCTTGCCAAAGCGGCACCAGGCGGCGAAGCTCTCCGAGTTCGTCCAGCAGATCTCCTCGCTCTTGAGGCCCAGGTGGCCGCAGGCGTTCTGCACCACCAGCTCGGCCACCAGCGGGCGGTAGCGGTACCAGCTATTCACCACCCGGCCCACGTTGGCCGCGCCCGCCTCGTACAGGCTGTCCTGGCGGATCTCGCCTTGGTGCAGGTGGATGATCTGCCCGCCACCCACGTAGACGGCCCAGTGCGGGGCGGGCGGCTCCGGCGCCGGCTGCAGCCACAGCAGCTCCAGCAGGTCGCCGGGCTCGCAGAGCGCGGGCAGCGCTGTGACAGCGTAGACGCTCAGGTCGGCGCCCTGAGGGCCGCCGCTCACTTTGGAGAAGATGCATTCCTGGCCCCGGAAGGCGGAGAACTGAGTTTCGTTGAGGACCAGCTGGTGCAGCAGGTGGTGGTGGTGGCGGCTGGGGCTCTCCGGGCAGGGAGTGCAGCCCGGAGGGGCCTTCACGCCAAACTTGTCGGGCTGGCCGCGTTCGTCCAGGTCCTCCTCCTCATCCGAGAAGAAGTAGGCGACCCCGACCCGCAGCTCGTCCTTCTCGATCCCCGACGGGTCCCCTGTGGGCAACTCGCTGTAGTTGAGGTGGGTGATGCGGTCCAGTTGGTTGCCCATCAATGACGCGGCGAAGCGAGGGCCAGGAGCGGGGATCTGCGGAAGCACAGACGAGAGGCAGAGACAACGATCAGAATCGGGCTGCTCCTCCCCAGGACGTGCAGCGCCCCTGGGACCTGCTCGCCCGCCTACGCGCCCGTATTGGAGTCACCCGTTCCGCCCCAGCGGCAGGACGGGTACAGAAGCCAGCAGTCCTTGGGGCGAGAGCAGACGCCACCACCACAGCCTCGGATCCCGTCTCGGAACCCGGTCCAACTCCCACAAGAGAAAAGGCAGGCGGTTGGAAGGCGTGCGGGGTCCCAGTGGGGCGGACAGTACGGGTTGTGGCAGCGTGGGAGACGGACACCCCGAAAAGGACCGAAGGATAGCTTGAAAGGAATAAGGGGCGCCTAAGGCCTCAGAGCTTGGAGCAAGCTGCGCTCACATTTGTCCCCACCCTCGCCAGCCTCTCAGTTTTGCGCTAGGTCGCACTCCTCCCCTGACAGCGCCTCGCACAATGACAATCAGACACATTCGCAGACACTCACTTGACACCAAGAAAATTTTGTTCACTTAAGAGCCCGGGCACTGACAGGCCGGCTGGTATATCGGTGTGACAATGTCACATATACACAATGACAAACCTTCGCGACGACACAGACCCCCACATTCGTACAGAGTTCTAACCCCACGCTTGCACGCTCGCCAGTGCACGTACACCCACGCACCCGGGCACACCTGCCCACACAAGCAGGTGCACTCTGCCCCTTACTTCTCCTGCCTTCTCCATAGCAGAGCCAATCGGGCTACAGCAGGGCGAGGCCGTTCTGTCTAAAATAACCTAACAAAGAGGAAAGGAAAAGATGGGGGAAGCCAGTGCGGTGTCTGTGTGCGGGTGCGGGTGCGAGCTGTGTAGGAAGGTCCACTTTCAGCCAAAAGACCCCTTTCCCTCCTACCCGGCACAGGGTCCAAACAGTCGGACGAAGAAAAACCGTTTCCAAGGCAAAGAAAGCCGCCTCTCCGTACCCGTGATTTCCCTGCTCCCGAAACCCCAAACTCCTTTAAAGTCTCCTGGTCCCCATGGGTGCTGCGGAGGCGGCGATGGCGAGTGGGTCCTGGGCGGCGCGTGGGGTTGCGGCTCCGCTCTGCCCCGCGCGGAACGGTGCGGTGCGGTCCCCGGCGCGGGGACAGTGCGCCTGCCGGTCCGCGCTGGCTGGGGCGCCGGGTCCACCTGGGCAGTCCCGACTCTGGTCTGCTTTCCTACAACCGAGCCCAAGACTCTAAGTAGCCTCCGCAGCTGGTCCCAGGGCCCGCCCCGGGACGCGCTCATTGGCTGGGGCGGTGCCCAAGGCCCCGTCAATCTCCGCGAGAGGGGGAGGGGAGCAGGGGCGGGTCTCCAGCGCGCGCTCCGCCCCGGCCCGCCCGGCCCCCGCGCACCAGAACGCGCACAGCCCCCGGGAGTGGAGGTGTGAGCACCCGCGGAGAGCGCGCGAGGGGCGCGGCGCTTCGGAATGGCGCCGCTGCGAGCTTCCACCCTCGCCCTCCACCCGAGCAGCTTTTCCGAGCGGATCCTGACTGACAGCGGTCCGCCCGGGTTCTGTGTTCAGGGAGTATAGACTCCAGCGATGAAGCTGAGTCCGCGGGTGGAGAAGAACCCCAGTGTACCCAGGCACTGAGGACGGCCCGGGGCGGGGAGCGACATTGTCGGAGGCGGGCACCTGGACCCTGCTAGGCGCCCCGGGGGTCTCGGTTCCCGACGACCCTGAGCTGATTATCTGCCCACAGACTTGCCCTGCAGGCACCCATGCCTTTCACATTGTGCCTCCGACGTTCGGTTCATCTCTGCTCCGTGTGAAACTGCTGACCCAGCACTGGCGCCCGGTTTAAAAGGAGCACCTTTGACAAACGGACTGAAAAATCGGAGCCTTGGCCAGCCCTTTCCCTAATGGGGCCTATGAGTTGGGGTTGGGATTTTTTATGAAAGAGTGCATCACAAATGCCTACAGCCAAGCCCCAGAGCTGCCTTTGCTTAGGGATTTTTGTTCGGTTTTGTGGCAGAAGGGTGTCCAGCAGTAATTAACGATTGCATTTCCGGATGGAAAGTTAACGCACGAATGAGTTATGGATATTGGATGTTGAAACAGGACTTTCCTACATACGGAATTCTAGATGAGTAGTTAGAAAAAGCTTATCACACTAAGCCTTGAAGTGTTCTTAGACATCTGGTTCTATTCTCAAGAAGGCTCCTGAAGCTTTTTGGTGAAGCTTACTCTCGTTCCCCGGGGAGAATGGGGTGCTTCCTCTTTGTGGCCCCTTTGGCAGCAGGCACAAAATCTTAGAGCTCTTACCCCTCCCCCCCCCTTTTTTTTAAGAATTACAAACCTGTGTTGACTTTCTTGCTCTTTACAAAGTGAGCGCCTGGAGGATTGGCGTGCTACATAACTTTGTATTGTGGATCTCCTTCACAATGCCGAGTGTACACCGGGTTCCATCAGCAATCATAAAGATGGCAAACAGCCTGACCACTTGTCAGTGGGGAGGCACTATGCTAAGAGGTTTAAGTGAGTGATTTCATCCTCATGCCTCTGGAAAGGATTTTCTTATACCGCCCACTGCCACGGATGAGGAAGCTGGGCCCAAATCCCAATGCCAGCAATCTCTGGAGGGCCTATGGGACTCCAGAGCCAGTCTTTAACCTGACTCTACTGTTCATTGAGTTAATAAAATCTTGTTTCATGAAATGAGAAAACTGGTGTCCCAGAGAAGTTACCTGAGGACTGATGGCACATTATAAAAACCCTTATTATTATTTTTTTTGGTAGACAATTCTTAAGGATTGTCAAACTGCTTTCTGAAGGTTTCTATATCCCATAGCCTCCAAATGCAGTGATTTCTCAAAATTATATGCTTAATAAGTATTGCTGGGAGAAATGGTTTTAAAATGACCATCTGCATACATTTGACATACGTAAATCTTTTCAAAAATTTGGCCATGTGCAAGTTATAAGAATACAAGTTACTATCCTTGGAACCAGCCACACATTGCGATGACTTTTTTATACTCTCTATGAATAATAAACAATTCGTTTTGTCCCTGAAGTCAAGGGAATTGAACAAGTGACTTCAGAAATCAGGAAGTGAGCCATTGGTCTGGTTGTAAACTGGATTTAGTGATCTCTGGGAGGGAGTATCTGAAGAGTTCAATACTGGTGTTTGAGACTGGCTCATTGAAAGTAGCTCTGTGCTTGGTATTGAAATACCTCCTCTCTCTCTCTCTCTCTCTCTCTCTCTCAATCTCCTATCCATCCCAAGATCAAATCTTGTACACACTGTATGCTGACTAACTGAACATAATAAAATTGTTTTTGAAAAAATCTTGTACACAAATATTTGTAGCATATTTGCTGGGATGCCGTGTTCTGTCTTATCTGACCTATCACAGACTGTTCCAGACTACAGAAGGAAGCAAGTTGTTCCTCTTTGCTTAGCATCCTAACATTCTAAGGGATAATGAACAAAAAAATATATTGTCGGGCTTCAAGAAACAGTGTCAAAAGTTTAAAACATCAAGATGCAAGTTTTTGAATCTCCTTTCCACCCCCTCCCCCTGCCAGGGTAAGAAGCTCACAGCATTAGTGATCACAAGGGAAAGTAAATAGCCTGAGAGTCCACCTGGGAATATAAGGCAGAGAACACACTGACTAAGAGATATGGAAAAGGAGTTCAAGTAAAATATGACAAATGCATCTCCTCTTTGTAGGCTTTTGGCAATGACAAAGATAATAAAGTAAGAAGTAAGCCAGTCAACTCGATTCCAATATCAGAAAACCTAACTTTTATTTTCATCACAAAATATTGTTTGGTAATTGTTTTGTTTGTTATTTGTCACCCCATCCTGCCTTTTTACACTGAAGAAATACAGCTTCCAAAAGAAAAATATAGTCCTCAAAAGCACAAATTCTGGAAGCCAAGTAATTTTGAATTTTCCTTCAACATTTTCCATCTGGGTAACTTAGAGTACGTTATGGAAACTTTCTGGGTGTCAGTTTCTTTATCTGTAAAATGTGATAAAATAGTATCTATCCCATTAAGTTGTGTGAGACACAGTGCCTGACACATAGTGACCCGTTAATAAATGCTACCTATTATTAATGTTACTGGTGGAAGAGGGGAGGGTCCCATGTCCTACTTGTTATGACATATGTCCAGGTCTGTCTGTTTCTTGCCCCAGGGAAAAGCTAACCTAAGATGGAGTGTCCAAGGCTGTCCCCAGCCGGGGCGTGAGACTGCTTCTTTCGTGAGATGGCAAGAACCCTGTCTATCCTGAGACTAGTTTAACATCTAAAGCTCTGTATTGATTTCTGTGCGCAAGTCCTGGGGCTGATCACATCCTGTGTCCTGCAGTATTTTGAATTGTTTTTACATGAATGTTTTCTTGTGTGAGGAATATGTACAGAAGAGCGGTGGCAGAGGAGTGATTAGGAGTCAGATATAGATAGATAGATGATAGATAGAGAGATAGAGAGATAGATATAGATAGATGATAGATAGATGATAGAGATAGATATAGATAGATGATATAGATAGATGATAGATAGATATAGATAGATGATAGAGAGATAGATATAGATAGATAGATGATAGATATAGATAGATGATAGATAGATATAGATAGATAGATGATAGATAGATATAGATAGATGATAGATATAGATGATAGATAGAGATAGATAGAGATAGATGATAGATAGATATAGATAGATGATAGATAGATGATAGATAGATATAGATAAATAGATGATAGAGAGATAGATATAGATAGATGATAGAGAGATAGATAGATAGATGATATAGATAGATGACAGATAGATGACAGATAGATAGAGAGATAGAGAGATAGAGAGAGAGATATAGCATTTCCTATTGGTGCCATATGCTGTATCATCTTCCTTCTTCTCCTCTTGGTTCCTTTAGCACTACGTGAAAGACTTTTCCCCAAATTTTACTGACCATGTCCTTGGGTCAAACTGTCATCCTTTAAAATTGGTCCAAGAACAGAAAGAGTGTTTATTCTCTGCATCATTGCTTGCTAAAAATGTTTTTTTCCCCATTTTTAATTGTATGTCCTACTTTAGCATTTAGCCTTTCATGAACTGTCCCTTTCCCGTCCTTGACTACCTTAGGCTCTCAACATACTCACCCTGATCTTGGCTAAAGAACACTCTGTACCTGTCTGGGGTAGAGACAGTGCCATGGCCTCACCAAACCCATTTCCTTTTCTCTGGGCGCACAACTAAATTACATGCCCCTGCCTCACACGCAGATCAGTGAGCACCATCTGGCTGAGTCTGGCCAATGGAATGCGGGTGGAAGTTTAGTAAGCCACATCCAGGCTTGGCGCCTGAAAGTAAAACCGCTACCATGATCTTCCGTGCACTTGTTTTATCCCATTTGTTCATTATGTGAAGGATCCGGGGTAGAACTCCAAGAATTTAAAAGATGGCGGAGCCACTAGATAAAAGGAGACAGGGCTTCCTGAATAACTAAGTAGAGCAGGAGATTTCTCCTCTCAAACAACCTGCATCAAACTGTGATGTGAGGGAGAAATAAATCTTACTGAGTTAAGCCACCAAAATTTTTATGACTACTTGTTAGAGTAGGAACCTACCCTGATAAGTATAATCTTCTTTATTTTAGAAATCTCTCAGAACAACAAATAGTCTATCCCTCTTCCCTTTTTCTCTTAGTGTCTGTTCTCACCATGAAGTTCTACTTTAGCATGTTTCAGCCATCACCCAGAGTTTAAGGAAATCAGCAGTGGATGCATCTGTCTCTCTAGGTACCACCCCATATCTCCCTACTATTTTTTTCCTCTAAATTCACCTTCATGTGACTAACTTACCTGCCTTCTACTTTCTCTCTTGACCACAAAAATGGCAGGGTCACCTCCTTGAAGCTAGGACTAAAGAGAATCCAGCTTCCCCTTAACCCCTCACGCCCTAACTTTCTCTTCCTTCTTACGGGCCCTCTTCTAAGTTGGGGTTCCACATTGTCACATTTTCCTAGTTCCTTCCTATAACTGGATATTCTTACCAAAGTTTTTTCAGTGGCTTCTTATCATTTTGCCTTTAAAGACTCCTAAGTTTTCTCTGGACAAAACTTTCAGCATTT